TTACAGTTGTAGGACTTTTTTGAAAAATGATTAGGTCAGTAGTTAAGAGATATATTGGCATAAAGATTACTTTTTCTTTTCTTTTTTTTGAGACAGAGTCTCACTCTGTCTCTCTGGGTAGAGGGCAGTAGTGTCATCATAGCTCACAGCAACTTCAAGCTCTTGGGCTCAAGTGATCCTCCTGCCTTAGCCTCCAGAGTAGCTGGGACTACATGCGTGCATCACCATGCTAGGCTAATGTTTTTTATTTTTGGTAGAGATGGGGTCTCGCTGTTGCTCAGGCTGGTCTCAAACTCCTGACTTCAAGCGATCCTCCCATCTCAGCCTCCCAGAGTGCTAGGATTGCAGATGCGAGCCACCGCGCCCGGCCTAGATTACTTTTTTTAATAGATAGGATGCAGCATAGTCAAATTGGGAGCACTGTGTTACACCAAGACTATGCCAGGGTTACTTTTTTACCCCTTCGTTGTAGGAAATTTCAGATATACAAAAGTAGACAGACTAGTACAATGAACCCCTCTCCCCCCTCCCATGATGACGGATGACAGACCTCTATGTTTCTGCCCCATGTATTATTTTGAGGAAAATTCCGTATGTCGTGTTATTTTCCCTGTAAATATTCCCAAAAACGTACATAAATATTTCAGTGTACATCTCTAAAACGTAGGGTCTCTTTTTTTATTAACCACAACCACGACGTCATTGCCATGTCTGAGAAAATAAAATAATTCTTCAGTACCATCACATGTCCTGTCAGTGCCATTTCTCGGATTGTCTTTTCGTTTTATCTTCTTAAACGACAGTTGGTTCGAATCCTTTATCCAGTTTGGCTAGCACATGTCTTAAGTCTCCTTTTGTGCCGAAGAAGCCAGGTGCTTGTCCAGTAATTTCCCTCTGCATGAAATCCCGTGGTTTCCTGTCCCTCGTATTTGCTGTGAATTTGTGGTCAGGTTTAGGGGCACGATCGCATTCTGTTTTGTGCAAGACCACTTGTGGTGCCGTTGATGTTGCCATCCCGCGGCGGGTGATTTCTGACGGTCTGAGAAAGTATAGGTGCCGTGTGTAGTAAAGGGTTCTTCTAGTTGGGTTTTTCCCCTTTTGGCTGTCATTTCTTATTTTCAAGCAAAGGTGTGTCCTTAAGAACAAACATTTTCTCTTTGAGAATCTTAAAAATCTAGAAGTTAATATTGGTGAGACAGTCTGCACCACCTTCCGCGACTTGTCTGTCCGTCTGGTTGCTGATCCCCGACTTTAGCTCCAGGGCGGGTGGTTGTGTCGGAATTGGTGTTCCGCTAGGTTTGTCCCTTCCCTCCTGGGAAGCCGCCCGGGAGCAGAAGCCGCTCTCCCTGCACTGCTTCTGCGTCGTGTCGGGGAGGGGAGGGGATCAGTAGTTCTTTGCTCTCAGGCGTTTCGGAATCATCTACTTAGCTTTGAAAGACTACAAATGTCTGAACTACAAAACTACAAAGTCAAAACCTACTCCAGTGATTCTTCAGTGCATGTGAGGACTGAGGACCAGTGACCCAGAATCTCAGATCGGCTGTTTCTAAATCTGTGTTCTCTAAAATTTAGTTATTTGCATTCTGCTGTCTAGATTTTTTTGTGTCCCAGTAGTATTATACTAGTACTTAATGTATTTCTTTAAATGGACTCACTTTTTTGTTTAACAGAAGACATCAGTACCACACACATAAAAAGAAGATACATACACATTAAAATACTTACCTATTAAAATCTAACATACTTGTCATTTATCCCACATTTGGAAAATAGTGAAAACTCTGTGAAACTTACTGAATTTATTTTAAGCATTTGTTTTCTGCTAGTTTACATTTCCAAATCTGCTTTATAGCATTTAATTTTTTGTGTGCTTTTGAGATTTCTGACACACTTTTAACAATTGCACGAGACTGCCTATGATCCTCAGGTTATTTCGTGAACAAGAGTTTTGAGAATTTATCACAAGCAGGTTATTGAGAGCAGGGAGCTCCATTATAGAAATGAAAAACCTTTATGATTACCTAGCAAGACAGAAATAGTTGTGCTTTTAAATTTCTTTTTGTGGCGGTCTGATACTATGTGTTTTCAGAAGTGCCCCCAAAAATAACTGGGTTAAATCAAATTCTGTATCCTGTCTGTGAAGCAGTGCAGCTTGCAGTGAAAAGAAGAAAGGCCTCGAAGTCAGACCTAGATGTCTAGGAATCCTCATGACATGTAATTATGAGAGTTATCCCTCTGAGCCACGGTTACTTCTTAAGTCATTCGGGAAAATTAGAGATTGTGCGTGAAGTTCTGTGTCTAGCCTTTGGGTCCAGCCAGCGCCTCACGCAGACTCCTTAGAGTACGTGTACGACACACTCAGGTTGTTTTCAGTTTCTCACGATTCAGGATTGTGAAGTGATGCCTTTTTGATTATCGTTTATTTGTCCTGACAGCTGTTGTCCTTGAACAAAATGAAATTAATGGGACCCATCGAAAATGTACAGCAGGTCCTTGAATAACGTCATTTTGTCTGTCCTGTCGTTTGGCTACAACGTTAATAAGAAAAGAAATCGATGCCCAGCTGGAGCCACTGTCCGTGTGGCGTTTACTTGGTTTCCCCAGATCTGCGTGGGTTTTCTCCGGGTATGGGGTTTCCTCCCACGTCCCGGAGATGTTCACGTCAGCTGAATCGGCACATCTGTGAGGCCCGGGTCTGAGTGATTGCGGATGCGTGTGAGTGGCCCTGCGGTAGGGTGGCGTCCCATCCAGGTGGTTCCCGCCTTGTGCCCAGAGCTGCCAGGACAGGCCCTGGCCGCCCACCGCCCTCAACTGGAACGAGCAGGTTGGAGAGTGAATGAAGGAGTGAATGAATGAATATGTGTAAATTGTTGTGAAATAGAGACCCGTAAGTCTGCAAGCCTGCGAATACACGACAGTAAACGGTGCAGTACGAAAGTGCGCGGTGAACGCACCACATCTGTGGTGGTGTGAGCGGGAGGTGCGCCTGGCAGTTCCCACTTTGCAAACGTCTGCTCCCCGACGTGGCCCACCACCGCCGTGACCACTGGTGGCACTCACCAATTCACTGAAAGTTGGGTGATTATCTCACTTGTTTTTATTAATCTCTCTTAAATATATGCGCAGCTCGAGTTTATTTCTGTGTTTGATATTAGAAGTGCTTTGGGTCTTTATCTAGAAGTTTGGAGATGTTTTTGTGACCAGAAGTATGCTGTAGGGACTTACCTCTTGTTTACACCAGTTAGCCCGTGGTAAAATTGGTTTCATTATGTGTCCTTTCGATTAAAGTCCCCATTTCCAAAACCTTTTAAGTGAGGACTTACTGTGTATAAATTTGGGATTCATTAAAAACTATATGTGTTTTAATTTCTGGAGTTCTATTAATTTTGTAATTTTTGGTATTTCTTTATTTCTTTCTTTTTTGAGACAGGGTCTCGCTCTTACCCAGGTTGAAATGCAGTGGCCTCATCATAGCTCACTGCAGCCTCAAACTCCTGGGCTCAAGTGATCCTCCCACCTCAGCCTCCTGAGTAGCTGGGACTACAGACGCATGCCACCATGCCCACCTAATTATTTTATTTTTTGTGGAGATGGGGTTTCACTATGTTGCCCAGGCCAGTCTTGAACTCCTGGCCCCAAGGGATCCTCCTGCCTCAGCCTCCCAGAGTGCCAGGATTACAGGCGTGAGGCACTGTGCCTACCCCTGTTTTTATTTATTTTTTAATTGTGTGTATTTAAGGTGTACAGCGTGGTATTTTGATATCACAGTGAAATGGTTGCTGTAGTCAGGCCAGTGGATACATCCACCATCTCACATAATCACCCTTCTTTTGCGTGTGATAAGAGCACCTAAAATCTACTTTGTCAGCAAATTTCCGGTGTACAGTGTAACTGTAGTTCTCATGTTGTACCTCAGATCTTTAGATTTATTCATCCTGAATATCTGTAACTTTGTATCCTTTGATATTCACCTCCCCGTTTCCTACCTGCCCACCCCATGGTGAGCACCACTTTACTCTATTTCTGTGTATTCAACTGTTATTTTAAGTAGACTGTCCGTATGAGTGAGGTGATGCAGTATTTGTCCTGTGTGCCTGGCTCGTTTCACACAGCACAGTGTCCCCCAGGTGCACCCACACGGTAGCCTATGGCGGGAGTTCCTCCTTTTTACGGCTGAATCATACTCCACCTGTGTGTGTGTATCATGATTTCTTTGTCTGTTTTTTCGCCGACAGACACTTAGATTGTTTCCGTATCTTGGTTATTGTGTGTAACGTGGCAGTGAACATGGGGTGTAGGTATTCTTGTCAGGTGGTGGATATATAGTTGGGAGGGGAATTGCTGGTTCGGATGGTAGCTCTGTTTTAAAACTTTTGAGGACCCTCCCTGCTGTTTTCCTTATGGCTACACCCGTGTACATTCCCACCAGCAGTGCACGTGAGTTCTCTTTCCATACCCTCGCCAGGACTCGTCTTGCCGATGACAGCCATCCTCACAAGTGTGAGGGGGTGTCTCGTGCTGTTTTAGGTTGCATGTCTCTGGTGATGAGTGAGGTGAGCACCTTTTCATACATCTGCTGGCCATTTTTATATCTTTGGGAAAATGTCTATTCGTGTCCTTTGACCACTTTTTAATCAGGGTTTTGTGTTTTGGTTTTTTTTTTTTTTTTTTTTGCTATTGAGTTGTTCGAGTTCCTTATATATCTCGGATATAACCCATTAATTTTCTCTTTGTAAAAAAACATGAGTTTCTGGGCATGAGCAGGTTTGTCTGTGTTAGCACGTGATTTCCAAGTTTTCCAGTATGGTCATTGTCACCAAATTGGTGTGAGAAAGAGATTGACTTGTTAAGACAGAATTACTTCTTTAAACTACTTAGAATCCAGAGGTACAAACATGTGTCCTGGAAAACCTGAGGGTTTTAAGGCTCCTTAGGAACTGTAAGAGTCAGTCGTGCTGTGCCTTTCAGGTGACCTGTTCAATGTCTTTGCCGTTTCGCAGCATCCGAGGTTGGCATCTCTCTCCTCCAGTGGAGCCCATGACTTCTGACCAGGACGCTAAAGTTGTGGCTGAACCGCAGGCACAGAGAGTCCAGGAGGGCAAGGACAGCGCTCGTCTGGTGGGTCCCTGGAAGGGGGGCTGGGGGGTCCGAGTCTCCTGTGTTTGCGGTGAAGGACTCTGCGGTGGACTTGGGGACGTCAGAGCAGTAATGCTGGAGCACCTCAGGGTCTTCACGGAGACGTCACGGTTCTGTAGGAGAGAGAGTGCTCACCGGTCTGAGGTTCACGGCTGAGACGTGTATAACAAAAGACAGATGGACAGGGAAAGCGTGCATATTTATTTAGTGATAAGTTTCTGTGACACGGAAACTTATCACTAAATAAATGAAGACCCAAAGAAACAAGAGCACTCTTTTTTGCTAAGTCTGATGCAGAAGCGGACAGTTGTAGAGAAACGTGACTGGACGAAAGGGGTGTGGTCTAACGGTAGTAGACTGGGGAGGACATAGCTGAGTCTGTGCGTTCAGATTCTTCTGGGCGTCCCCGTGTGACGTTCCTTCCTCCGGCTGCAGAGCGGGACCCTCAGGACCTGTCTTCACAGGAAGGTCACCGGGTGTTACGGCCCGCTCCAGGGGAGGAGGGGCAAGAGACTTCGTTCTAGTTTCTGTGGCCTCATCCTGCTGTGCCCTCAAGTGTCAAGAGGCCGCCTTTTGAGGTAGCGCGTCCAGACCCCACAGTCTGAGCAAGGTGGGCGGCTTCGTGGAGGGAACTAGGTACTAGGTGATGGGAAGCAGAAGTGAGTTGTAGCTCTGGATGCTTAAAGCTTTGTATTCTAAGTCAAGAAAATGCAGTGGTTTATAAATACTTCAATAACATCACAGCCATCATAGGAGGAGGTATTCCAAGAGTGAATTAGGATTTTAATGTAAATGTTTTATTTCGACTACCTTTGTTCATTTAAAAATTTTATCGTATTGAGCAATAATATTTAAAGTTTCAAAATGGCAAAAAAATTTGCATCTGACACTGAATTAAAAAAAAGGCTTTGGGAAAAGTGGCTTTTCTTAATTTTCGCCATTAAAACTATAAGGAATTTTACTTATCGGTCAGAATTTCAAAATCTAGAATTTTAAGGTTCCTACATCATTCTGAGTATCTTATGCATTTGACTTGTAAAAATACGCATTTCTCAGTGGGTTTAGTTTTGCTTAATTTACTGTGGTTCGAACATGTGTTTCTTTACCCTGCAGTGATGGTGTCTTTGTTTTCGATTTTACAGATGAATGGTCCTGTATCTCAGACCACTTCTCAGACAAGTTCCATCCCTACGCTGAGTCAGGTAATTCAGTTTCCAGATTAATCACAGATTGTTTAATCACAGCCGAAGCTCACAGATATTTCCTTGAGACAAATGTTTATTGTTAAAAAAGAAATAGGAAATGTAGATGTTTCTCAGAATGGTGGAGGACCGGTTCCTCACTGCACCCCCTGGGTATCGGAAGTGTCCTTTCCCGGTGTGTTTGTGTGGGGGTTAGGCCCGTAGTTCCACCAGTGTGCCACGTGTGTTAATTTATTGTCAGATATTCACCACAGTGTTTAATGGGTCACTCATACTCTCTTGCATGTATATATATGATCAGCTTTACATCTTGGTAGCCTGTGTTCTTTAAAGCACACAAGTTTGATAGGAAGCTTTCACTGAGAAAATTTGTTTCAGGCTGGGTGCAGTGGCTCGCGCCTGTAATCCTAGCACTTGGGGCGGCCGAGGTGGGAGGATTGCTTGAGGCCAGGAGTTCGAGGCCAGCCTGAGCAAGAGCAAGACCCCTTCTGTACAAAAAATAAAAAACTTAGCTGAGTGTAGTGGTGTACACCTACAGTCCCAGCTACTCGGGAGGCTGAGGCAGGAGAATTGCTTGAGCCCAGGAGTTTGAGGTTGCAGCAAGCTGTCATTGCACCACTGCATTTTAGCCCAGACAACAGAGTGAGACCCTGCCTTTAGAAAGCAAAGATTTGTTTCACATTTTAGCTGTGACCGTTCTGTCTGAACGATAGTCTCTCATGACCTGGAAACCAGGAACAGCAGTTTTTCTCAACTTAGAAAATTCTGTCATTTCTTTAAAAAGCTGGTAATTTTACTACTTGCTATTTGTATCATCTGGAATATTACAGTTTCTTGCAAACTCTTTTTCATTTTAGGGTTGTGTATTCAGTTGAAGTTCTGCAAGGCATTTTGTTCAACAGTTGATTTACAAATCAACTTCCGGTGGCCTTACTGTGCCAACAGCTGCGCTGAGAGGACAGTCAGACCGAGCGGGGCAACGACCAGGGTGTCGCAGCTGGCAGCCTTCTGGGCCACGGGGCTCTCACATGCGTGTTGAGGTACAGTGCGTACCAGCACACGCACAGACAGATCACAAGCGTATGGCTCAGAGAGCTTTTGTAAAATAAACACAGGCAAGGATTCCACCTCCTAGATCCTGAACCAGAACGTTACCACAAGCCCTCTGTGAGCTTTGGCTAATTTGAAGACATGCCGTGATTGTGGAAATTGTGAAAATAGGAGACACGTATATGTTAGAGGCAGGGCACGTTTGCAGACGAGACACCTGAGAGTCTCATCAGAAGGGCGAACTGGGGTGATGCGCCCAGTTTCCCGGGTGGCCAGGCTGTCTGGCCTGTTTGGACTTCTCACGCCATGTCGCCTGGCTGCCGCAGACACCTCCTCACTGGCGCCCCACCGCCCTCCTTCCTGACAGCGGCCAGAGGGTCCCTTCGAGAGGGCCAGGCCAGGTCCTGCCCTCCTGGGCCACACGTCAGAGTCTGCAGTCTGGCACCCTGCTGCAGCCCCGGCCAGCACCCCCGCAGGGCTCTCTGCCTTGGCTGGTCCTGGCGCACCCCTTTCCCGGGAGTCTGCGAGGCTCCGTCTCGCACCTCTGCGGCTCTTGGCTCGCAGTTCAGCTCAGCATGCTCTGTCTACGTCATTCTCCTTGCCTCTGGCTGCCCCAGGCTCCTTGCCCTGTGGCAGTTAGCACCTTCTTACCTCGTTAGGTGTCTGTGCGTTCAGTGTCTGTCTCCCTGGACTAGAGCACAAGCTCCATCGAAACTGGGGCTTGGTTTTGTTCACTGGTGTGTCTCAGCGTCTACCTCTAGCTGACTCCTCTCAGTAAGTGTCTCCTACGTGAGAGGACACATCACACATGGTGGCAGCCACAGCGCTCGCCGTAGTCGACCACACGGCACTTGCCATGCGCTGTTCTGACACTTCAGTGCTGTAACCCTCCTTCCTGTTAGCCTATGCTTGTGATCCCCCTAGGTGCTGTTATCTCTGTTTTACTACTGAGGAAACCGAGGCACAACGAGGCTTAAGTAATTTCCTGAGATAGCTGAATTAGAAAGTGGCAGAACCAGGAGTTGAGCCCAGGCCACAGCATTGGGAGGTGTGGCCTAATGAGAGGTGATTAGGTCATTAGGACAGAGCCCTCGCGAATGCATTAATGCTGCTACCGAGGGAGTAGGTTAGTTATACGCGGTTCAGCCACAGCTCTTGGCATGGCGCTGTCTTGCCGCTTCCTTCTGCCCTGGGAAGACGCAGCACAAAGGCCCTCCAGAGGCAGGCCCCTCGACCTTGGCCTTCCCAGCACCCAGAGCTGCTCCTTACTCGTTACCCAGTCTCAGGGATTCTGTCACAGCAGCGCAGAGCAGACCCGCCCGGTCGGCTTCACCAAGGACTTTCAGGCGTGGAAAGTCGGGGAGGAGGAACAGCAGAGGCAGCGCATGCTGGCGCTGGTCGGCTGGATTCGTGGATGGAGTGGAGGGGGGAGGACAGCATCTGAGCGGCAGAGGAGCTCATGGAGGTCGGCTGGGCCCAGACCGTGAGGGCGGTGGGGTGATGCTGGGGTTCTGTTCTGAGCACTTTACTTAATCTTCGCAGCAGCTGTTTGAAATAGGCGTCGGAGTTGGCTCCATTTACAGATGAGAAAACTGAGACAAGGGAGCTTAAATAATACCCAGAAATCACATACATACTAAAGTGGCGCCGAGAGCCAGCCCTGCAGGACCTCGTGTGCGTGCCCCCTCACTCCGCCCCCGCCTCTGCAGCAGGTGTGGGCGGCGTGTGTCCTGAGTGGAGAATGTTTTCCATGTGGAAGCTTAATTCTCTTCTGGTGACGCAGGGAGCGGCGTCACATTGTGGTCACGCGCTGCCTGGGCCGTGTTGTGTCACCTGAAGCTTTTCCCGATGCACTCGGTGCCGCAGTCTGTGATCTGCGCAGTGGGATCAGCAGCACCCACCTGAGGGTGGCCGAGAGTGCGAATCCTGACCCACCAGTGAAGCGACTGCATTTGTGTAGGCAGCGTTTCCTGTCCCACAGTCCTCTGGGAGACGTCTGTGACTGTCACCGCCGTCATCATCATCATCACTGGCTGCAGTTTCAGCACCTGAATCTTTAAGTATATTCGGAAGCATTTCCGTTACCTTTATGTTCAATTAATTCAGTTCCTAAACTTTTCATCATAAAATTTTAACATTTTGTAAAAATAAACATTAATAGGACACCAGACATAACTTTTAGATGCAAAAACCTCTCTTGCAGAGGACTTAACAGTACTGTTTTTTTGGGAGACAGAGTCTCGCTCTGTCACCCAGGCTGGAGTGCAGTGGCATCATCACAGCTCACTGCAGCCTCCAACTCCTGGGCTCCAGGGATCCTCCTACGTCTGCTTCTCAAAGGGCCAGGATCATAGGCATGAGCCACTGTGCTTGGTTTTGTTTTGTTTCTTAAAATAGCACGTCAGAACCATAGTAAGAGAAAGAATCATTTATACCGAGAGTAAAACAGGAGAGATGTCAACATGAGACAAGACCATGGTGCAGGAGCAGCTTGGCTGGTTACACTTGACTCCTGTTTTCCGCCAGACAGGAGACGGCTGTGCTTTTCTGCTTCGGGTGCTTTTGAGAGACTTGCTGGTTTTGGTACTAGAAGGCGTAGATTTTTTTTCTCTCTTTTTCTTTCCTTTTTCTTAATTGGATTTTCTGACATCTGTGGAAGTGGAGAGAATGATATAATGAACACTAACGCACCCTCATGAATTTGCAGTTACCTGCTCTTGCCTTGCTCTGCCCTTGTTTTTTCTTTTCCTCCCTCTGTGCACACAAGTGCTTAAAATTGTCATGTATGTGTATATATATTTAGTGTATTTCTTGGAGTAGTTTAAAGCAAATCTTAGACAATGTCTCATTTTATCATAAATACTTCAACATGTCTCTCTGACACCATTCCGTTTTCATGCCTGACAAAATTAGCGATGGTTCCTTAATACTCACAGACGTTATTTCCTAAAACTAGAAAATTAGGTACAACTATAAGTATAAATTTTAAGGAACAAGTTTCCGACACTGTTTTCCTTTTGGGGGATTCACACACTAACTTGTTTGGTTGCCACCGTTCCATGAAATGTAATCTCGAAAGTACTGAAACACTGCAGAAAAACCAGAAGTCTGAAATCCTCCTTCTGGCTGGGATGATAATTGCCATTGTTTTTTACTGAATTTATGAGAAGAAGGAAACGTAACCTGTAGCGTCCTTTTGCTGCGGTGTGAGCCTTTGGATTCCCTGTGCTGTCTGGATTTTAGCACAGAGAGGATGACGGCTGCCAGGCTGGACTCTGTTGTCATGAGGATTTGGATTTGAGTGGCAGGGACATGTGACCCCTGCGCAAGGGGTTATTTTTGGTGTCTGGGTGTTGGCTTCTCCCCAGGAACCACAGCAAGTTAGTGTGAGGTGTGTTTGTGGAGGCTCGGAAAACGGCTAACATTGCGATACGAGTTTCTGAACTTTCAAACATGGGTTGTTGCTTCAGCAAAGAATTAAGTAGTGACAATGACGATGAGAAAACTGGCCTGTTGCAAAAATCGGTGGAGGAGAAGGAACCGGAGAACAAGATAAGTAAAACTTTATCTTCATTATTTGATCCCCTTGGAGGTGAGGAGCTTCGCAATGTTGAAAGTGGAGCCAGCAGGGCAGCTGCGGGCCCTGGGGCGTGGCCCGGACCTTGGGCAGGGTCTGCGCACAGCTGGGGGCACGGACCCGCGCAGCCGTTGAGCTCTCTGTCCTCTCTAACGCGTACGTTCTTAACGAAGGACGAAAACTTAGATGAGAGTGACCAGAATTCAGATGCTGTTACTGAGCAGGACTCTGAGAGTGTGTGTGACCCGCCGTGTGTGGGGAACGGCCCCCAGGACCGTCCTGAGGATGACGGGCCTCTCTCGCGTGTGCCGGTGCACTCTGACCCGGGCCTACAGGAAGAAACTGGTGTGAGTGGCCATTGCCCGGCCACTTG